AATCGGGCATTTAGTTTCCACTAAAACTTGGTCTGCTATAGATAAATGCATCTGAGGCCTCTAAATGCAGCTTTTAGCCACCTTTAAAGAAGAGTGGCCCAGTCTGTCCAGAGTGAGAACGTAATCTCAATCAGCCACAGGGAGCAGCCCTGTACTGCAGGGAGTTATGGGTATAAAGAGGCTGTTGACATTTGATAGCCAGCAGTTGGTTACAGAATGGACTGAGGCTAAAACACAGTAACCAAGCTAATGCCATAGAGCTATTTATCCCAGTTTTTCAAACTGCTAAATATGGAGTCTACAAACAAATATAAAAGCAAGAGTAAGACTATCAGATGAAATGTAACTAAATACATTGATTCTTAATGCAGTTACCTACCTGCAGGACTCAGACACACTTATCCACTGTCACGCAAGGTATCTTAACTACATTATCTATGCTCTCCATTGATTATAGCTCAGTGTTCATGCAGAACATATTCTGTAAGAGAGAGAACTGCATTACATGACACATGGAGGTATGCATGCACCTGAAACTATGAGGTCTGACTGTCTGCGTGGACTGTCTCCAGTTGGCAAATACTGGAGTACACAGCTATACGATGCAGCTAGGGAGCAAAACACCAAGTATATAAAATATGTTCATAATGAAACAAATTAGAATATGACAGGGTGTCACTGTCTAGATAATTAATGGGAAATACTGCTTTGGCATGGTGAGATAGGGCATTAGCCCTGGTGGAGGTATATGCTCTCTGAGCACCCCTTTAATTTGACATTAAATGGTTGTGGTCACATGGTATGTGCCTTAACCATTAGGCTACTGAGGTGACAGGCTGCAGTGGCTCAGGTAGTTCATTAACCAGAAGGTCGGTGGCTAAATTCCCAATCTAAAATCCCTCAAATTGCCCCTGACAGCTGTGATAGGAGTGGGTGAATGGTGTCTATGAACAGGTGAATGTACTGTGAAGTGCAATGAGGGCTCGATAAGACTGGAAAGGATGATATGAATACAGAGCATTTACCCAGCAAAGTGTTAGTAAGTAAGTCTTGATGGTTTAAAGAGAAAATCTCCAATTAAGCGAGATATAATGAAAACTAAAGCTATAACACTCTATTTGAATTATTTCACCAATAGTATTTTGTATTGACGTATTCAGATCAGTAAAAATGTGAAAAGCATCATTTGTTCCTTTTGTTTTTTTATAAAATAGTTTTGGATTACATAGTTGTGTACACACAATTTCTTTTCTTTTTCATATTCAGATCATAATTTGATTTGGATCACCCTTCTCCGTTCTACAGAATGAATAAGTAATCGTAACAATATTTAGCCCACATGTTTTTTTTGACTGCCTCTGCCACCAATATTCAGAAGAAGAAAAACAGCGTCTTATCTCTTCTCTCGGCTTCGCTCTGACTAAGCTGAACTTCTGCATGACTTTTTTTTTTTTTTTCAACAGGGAATTTGCAGGCATCAAACTGAAACACTTTGTTCTACACACAGCCCCCCGTCTCTGTTTTCTCCCACAGCCTGGAGGCAGTACAAGAAGCAGGGCTTTACCCTACCACCTGCACTTCATTACGCCGCTCCTTCATGACTCGGTACATCTTGTATCTTGTCTTTCTGTTTTTAACATAATTCATGGGTCACAAAGTCAGGCTTCAACATGAATCAGGACTGTTCTGTTTTACTTATATTCACATAATGTCAAAACATTCTTCCATCTCAGCATTTGTGAAGCCAATTACATGTTTTGACTGATTGACTTTTGAATCAGCCCAAAATATGGAAATACCTACATACATGTTATATCCCCTTTGGGGGAAGCAATTACTTCCATTTATGAGCTTGTATAGTAAACTCCACCTATGAAACATCTCTGATACAGTTCAATGAAGCACAAAAAGGTAGTTTCTACCGAGCCGTCATTTCCTACAGCAATGTTAAAGCTGTGCAAACGTTCCGCTGATTAGTCTTAAAACAGGGATAGCTTTCCTCTTGGGAATTGTTGGATGAGATATATCGGATGAATTTTCCTAAAATCTAGACATATTTCATCTGTAGCCCCCTTTTTATACAGAAATCTCATTATACACTGTAACGACGACCTATTGATATGCTGCTGCTGTTGTTGAGTCTTGCCTATTGTGTCACTGAAAATTATATTTCACCACAGTTTCTATGTCTATCTGTCAAATATTTCACAAACTAAAAATATTTGCAACACTTCCTGCACCTGTTTCAAAGTAGTCTGTTGTTTCTGTTGACCAAATCCATTTATTTGTTTTGACACGGTTTTTATTCTGAAATATTACGAGGACAGGAAGATGCACTTTCATAGTGTCCTGGCATTTTGTTCATCACAGACCTACTTTTACAACTGATCAACTAGGCAGCCATCATGCACTGCACATGCACCCAGTGTGTCCTGCCAATCCACTGGTCCCTTTAACCTATTTAGACCTGATGCAGCGTAAGCATGTAAAGTATGTACCTTTAGGACCCAGTGCAACGTTTGTGTGCTTCTCTCGTTGGAGCCAGATGAAGGCACTGTCACACATATGCAAATAAGAAGTGATCATTGTGGGTCAAACTTCACTGAAGTGGAACGCCATGCGACACCATACTGCAAATTGCTCTGTTAGCGGGCCCTCAGATATGTTTGCGCTTTATATGATGTCATCGTTTTTTAAGATATGTGACTGATGAAAAACACCACAATGAGCTGTTATTTTACAGCTCTCAGCCTGCATGAACCTGAGGGAGAAGTGCAAGGATTTACAGTGAAAGCCAAGTGTTTAAGCTATCAAATGTTTTTCACTCCATGTTTCTATCTGCTTCAGAGGCTGACCAATTTGAGTTTTTGTAAATGCCCCCTCTATAATAAGATACTACACTTTTTACATTACGGCAAGGCAGAATAAAGGGGAAACATTCCTGCCTCATGCAGGCTATGTAAATAGAGGCTTCTTTGTGAAAGACGTAGCTGAAGTTTCTATATATGGAGCAATATAAAGACATTTTAACCAAACAATAAATTGGTGAAGATTTCAAAGTGCTCCTAAACCCACCAGCTACCTCTCAGTCTTTTCTCTGATCCCATCAACCCATTCCATGCTGACATAAAATGCTACACACATGGGCATTACTGACAGGGACTCCATTCCTCCATCATGGGTCAAGCAATTCATCCAGAGCAGAGGAATTAAAGAAAGCAGAGATATCTTCAGATGTAAATCCCCTTCTAAGATCAGCAATGCTGTGATCTCATGATGTGCGCTGGATGTCTTCAGAACGTGTTTTTCAAAGGAATCTCATACCGTGGGGCTGTATAGCTTTGGTATATCGCTCTGGGAACGGTAGCGTGACCTCTGTTTGACCCCTGTCTTACCCAGAGGAAGTAATCTGTTGTCAGGAAAAGAGTGATAACTGATATAAGGTCATGAAACAACGCCAGCAGGAGATCCGACATGGCCCCAACCTGACAACAGCAAGGTGCCATTAGATTAGGTTGGGTGGTCATGTATGTATTTGTGTTTGTGTGATGTGTGTGTTTTCTGAGAAAGGTTCTCTTAAATACAGCTTAACTGTGAGGCATCTTTCCAGGAAAATGAAAAAAAAAAAGAACCTGACATAAAATGCATGAACACAAACCAGAGGGATGTTTGAGTGACACTAGTTTGATGTTGCAGCTCTCCTGACACACAAGGCTGTTTGGAAATAAGCCTCATGCTGCTCGGTGTGATGGTAAAAAGGCCCCTGGAGATTGCCGTTGACAGGCCGCAATAAACGTCACAGTCATGAACTCTCTATCACACTGACAAAAGGCACACCAGCGAGCAGGTAACGCACACAGAAGCTCTGCAAAACTGCTACTGAGAGTCAAACTAAACACAACAGCTCGTACAGATTGATATAGTGCACACTGTGGTATTTTGTGAGGGAACTTTTATGGGGTGGAAAAATGTACATGGTCACTTTTCATGAGGGCCAGTAATGGTTAAATCCCTGCAAACTCACCATAAAGATATTCTGAGACATTATGAGTGTCAGAGCATTATATTGTATAACTCCTCCTGGATTTCACATGGGACCAAATTTAAATGACTAATAGTTCCAGTGTAGAGCTCACTATGGGAAAACAAGAAAAATCTGGGGGTAATCAAATTGTTTCCATTGAAAGTTATGGTCTTACGGGAAGGTTTATTATATAATAACAGCATTATAGAACAATGAGCATTAAAGGCTTAAGGCAGAGTGGCCGAGAGCTGACAAGTGGTTTTATTGATCACAATGGGTAAAAACACAATATCACCTTCATCTAGCCATGAAGAGCCAAACTACATGTGGCAAGCTCAGTTTTTACTGTGACATAAAAATCTGGAAAACATCTGCTTGAAAATCGATTCAGACCCATGTGGTACGTACTGGCGGAACGTTAAGTCAATGACGTAATCTTCCAAACACGTATTACAACTAGGTGTTATGCATGTAAAATCAAACATGATTCTGCACCTCTTGGCACATTTACTCAGACATTCAGTCTGGTGGTAAATGAAAACAATTGGCGGTATTTTCACAACTAATTTACTTTTACAATTACGTGATCTGTCTCAGACAAATTAATTCTTACCCTTTGAGTAAAAGTTGTTGGATGGTTTCACCAGGGTAAGTGCTTCTCAAAGCTAAAGAATGTCTCTTTTCACCTAATTTGTGATCTCAGCACTCTCCTTTTTAAATAGAAGTCCACAAGTAATGCAAGGAATAAAGAAGTCATCAATGAGCTAAGTCTTTACCAACAAATTTGTATAAAAAAAGTTTCGATGTCATAACATGATTAACAAGTCAACCCGCTCCCTATAATAAACTTAAATTATGTATAATGTAATTAAATTAAATGTATTGTTTAACCCACAACCATAAAAATGCACTAAACCAACTCTGGTGCAGCTTCAACAGCGAGCGTAAGCTCATGTGAGGCCAACAGAAGTCCTACCTGCTCGCTGGCTGTCAGAGCATTCCTGTTTGGAGCCACAGCCGAATGTCCTCAACCTGTTATAAAGAGACAGAGTAATTATAAACATGATGACCATATGCACTCAGTTTAATTAAGTTATAGGTTTCAGTACTGAGCAGGGGCAAATCCAGGGGGGCTCTGGTCCTAACTGAAGTCTTTTTTACCCCTAAATACTCATCACTTACTAACATTAAATATGGTAGTCTGCTAATAAATGTTTTTTACATTTTATTGAAGTACACAATGTGCTTGAACAAGGCCCAATTTTGAAAATATATTCAATAATGTGTTTGCTTAATGGTAAATAAGAAATTAATTAAATATGCACCTTACTGAATCAGGAATTGTGTATGGATGTTGGACATATAATTGGCCCCTCTGTGTTAATTGTGTCCCCTTCATGTCTCATGACTAAGAAAAAAAAAAAAAACTATACACTGCCACTCAGTGCAAGTGTGGCTGGTGAACAGGACTGGATAATACTTTTGCATCAACACTGAGAAGTGGTGGAGCAGGAAGTGAAAACAGCCTTCACCCATTTAGTTTCCCCCTTTGATTGACAGTACACCAAAGTGAACAACCCATTGAACAAACTGCCAAGATGCGTGTGATCAAGCCGACAATAAATACACCAGGATAGCAGGATAAGAATGTTCACACAGTTAACATAGATCCCACAGAGTGCCAACTGCTCTGTCAATCCCAGTGGGATCTGGGAGAAGCTACAACAGGGAAATGGCCACATTCCAGTTAATTGAAGAAGACTTGATTTCTGTGTGTCGGAGTTGAAAGCCTATTACGCAACCATGTGGATCCAACGTTTGAAGCCGGCAAAGAGTGAAGTCAGTCGATTAAAGAGAGGAAACAATGGAGGGCACTGCAAGATAGAGTCAGGCTTGTTTGCATAAGCTGGAATTTAATTGTTTGAGGGTTTTGCAAGCCATGATTTTACTATCTTACACAAGCAAACATCGAAAACACATCAAGACAAAAGACACTCACACTCTCAGCATGCATGTTCTTCATTCCATGGAAGACTGAAGCAAATATAAAGCTTTCAACACGCCAAAAGACTCAGAATTATAGAAATTGCTTATAGAAAGTACTTTATTAAGTTGCTGAGTAACTGAGGAAATAACTCTGACCTGCATGGTTTAATAGATCATATAAACATAATTCTTTCCCATGTGATAAGAGGACTAGGACTACAAAACCTTTCCAAAGAAATGACGCTGACATAAAGTCATGTTGGTTCTCTCAGCTACTCTAATGACAGCATCGAATATTCTGTCGCTACAAGGAGCCAATAACAACAGCAATAACCTCAAATTGTATTATATTTTTATTCTTTACTATATACTTTTATTGTACTGAAAGCATATTTTCTAGCCTTCAGGGCCAGGAAGAGTGGTGTACAGCTTTGTCAATACGTACAAGAAAGAATAGTGATGTGGAATTTATGTGGAAAGGACAGATTTGTGTCTTTTTTGGCATCGTATACATCCCTTTCTCCATGAGTGATGGATTTAGTGTATAATCTGTTCCAGGATACAGACAACAAGGCCATAACCCAGTGGAAGAATTTGCAGCCGTGTCCATGCCTATTCATCCAGACCAGTGCCCATTCTTGACAGTTTTACTTTGGTCTTTTTCAGCCCTGTTTTGATCTATGTATGCATGCTGCTGAAGACCGAGTGAGAGGATTCAAACCAGGAGAACCCAAGACCTCATCCCACTTAGGTTGTTAGTACAGGGACACCGTGTACCCAAACATCACAAATCTCTCATTACAACACTACAATCTTATTCTAGTACTTTGGCCCAGGCCACTTCTGGCAGGGAATTTCCCATTTGCATATGTGATGTGTTTAAGACCTAAGTGAGTGTGATGCACATTTTCATACAACACACTTCATAGAAATAAATTGTAGCTTTTAACTTTTTTGAACACAGTGTATGAAAAGCCAAGAAATAGCTGTGTGTGGGACAACAATTTAACCTGAAGATTAAATCCTGCCTCATTTATTTCCCACACAAGGGAAACACAACGACAACAGAAGCGGATGACAAGGCATGTTGACAATAACAAGCGGAGGTACTGGTCACTGCAGCAAGTTTTAAAATGTGGATATAAAAATATGCTAGTCCAAGTAATGTACTTTAAACTGAAAGAGAAAATGTAAAAGTACAGTAACTAAGGAGAAGATATTCAGATTCAAAACCTTTTTAATCCCAGTAAGGATAAATAAATTAGTAGCCACAATCTGACATCAACATGCCAGTTACCAGGACTCACATTTTACAACATCAAGAACAACAACAATCATCAACTTTAAACATTTAGTAGCCTGATAGCAGAAGGAATGAAGGAGTCAGAAAAACTATTTCTTTTACGAGGTGGCCTGAGGGCACGACGTAAAATTCCCTCGAGAGTACACGATTATGATGGTTTATGATTCCTGTTACTTTCTGGACCACCCAAGTCTTCTTGCTGGACTCCAACATCTTGGAGCAGACCTACAACAATATGATTTAATTCATTTTTGTCCTTCACTGAAAACGCATTCAACACCAAAACTGAAATGATAAAATATAGAAAAATGTTCAATCATATGAGACAAAGGATCTTTTTAGAAGAATTTTAAGCCATAATAGTTGCTCATATCATAGCTGAAATTAAAATATCTACATCATGGCCTCTGCGCAACAACTACACCCCCCTGCCATTCTCTCCAATGACACTTTGAGGAAACACATCACTTCCTCATCACGGATCACAGCCGGTGTCACAGAAGTGCCGCTCAATTACCAGTCTTAGTGGCCGGGGGAAGCGACCAACCGTAAAGGCGGCCACAAAAGAACCAGGTAGCATTCAACAGGAAACATCACCTCGGCCAATTACCCATGAGCTCATATGTTGCCAAAACAGCCATTAATCCGAGCGGTGAGCACACAGAGGGTTAGTGTAGCTTCCAAGGCCTCTGCCAAAGGTGAGAGCGCTCACAGGGCGAAACACAAAGGAGGACGTAGGTGATACGGCAAACAAAAGAATTGATCATTTATTATGGTTTTCTGGAACACCAGCTCAGCCTCAACTATGCCTGCGCCTGTAAATGATAAAATTCACTTTATGTACTTTAAACAGACTTTCCAGAACATTCCATCGCCGTCTGTCCCATGAACTGTTGTCATATTGAGACCCCAATAATACAAACCAGTTACAAGAAGGAGGCCTGACATCTTGCAAACTTTCTAAAGGTATGTGTAGGATGACAAACGATGAAGGCTTATACGTGAAAAAAAGATTACAAGTGAAACCAGACTCATTCCACACATCAGTGCGTACAGCACTGGAAAAACAGAAACACCACTTATGTCACAAATCCAGGGAGTCACGTGTGCCGTCATCACCAGAGCTCAACTGAAGAAGTGAACGAGCACAAACTGGAATAACATATCATCTCGACGTCACAACAATCTCTACTGTGCACTGTCTATAGCTGATGGCTAGAAACATTTGAGTTTGAGACATAACTGAATCAAGGGGAGCTTAGTTACGAGCGTCTCACTGGTAGAAAAGAGGCTCCGTAGTCTGCTGTTTATAGAATTCCCTGCAGTGTCTGAGGAACAGGTCAGGTCCCTAATGCATGTAGTACTGGCATCAAACTATAGATCCTAGGGACGACAAAAGTGTAGAGAAATGCAGTTAAAATTGTCTAAAATGCGAAGATTAATTTGAAATGATTCACCATGGTGCTATTTTACAAACAACCCTCCTCCTCTTTATTTTCTTTGTACATGCCTGACATTCAGTACAGCCTGTTTCTGCGTATGGAGGACCGAAACTGCCAAAATTCAAAATAAATACTTAAACAAA